AATTACGCTTTGTTTTTACCTCAGTCGACGATCCCTAGGATCCATGGGTTCTCCTTCGATTCACCTTTATGGTATTTTCTTTTGCAAATTGTTGTCTCGTCGATCGCGATAAATTTGTCTAGTCCACCGAGCTTTTGGTTGATGTTACACACTTTGGTGGTACATACCTCTCTGCAATACTTACAGCGTTTTATTGCAGATTTCAGGCATATTATGGTGAAATCTGCTGCCTTGGATACTTCTACATTCGACACGAGGTACCATGTTCGTCAGAAGATTATTTTTATTGGTATGTGAGATTTCTCGAAGAAAGAACTTTGTTTGATTGTGACATTTTTAGCGGCAAACGGGATTTTGGGAACGTAAACCTTCTTTCGGAAGATCTTGAAGATTCATTTGGATTTGTCGATTGCCCACAATGACTCTGATGTTTTATTGCAAATAAGCATAAACTCTGCAATTATCCCTATGGATTTTGCTAAAACGCTGTTCCAACGGTGTGAGGTGGTCACAAAGTCACAAAGATCTTGATATGTTAAAACATTTTGGCTGATTTATTTTTTCTATGAGGGTTTAATGGGCAAAATGAGTTCTATTAAACGCATCTTCTGTATTGACTGAGTTTAATGTGGTGGAGGAAGCTTGAAATCTTGAAGTAATTTTTTTCTCAATCCACACCTAAATCTCGTTTACACCAGCTGCCTCCCCCTCCTGATAAATGCATCACTGCGTATTAAATCAATGGAAGTAAAACAAAGGTTTTAAAAAATACAACGAGAGGCAGATTGGGTATTACTGGTGGATATTGTACAAAAAAACGCTTGCCTATTTCTCCATCTTAGAAACCAGTAAAATCACTAAGTCGACATGCATGCACGTTCGCCTGCATCCACAAAAATGAATCAATCATCGGCATTTTATTTGTCGCACAATCATCTTGATGTTACCGGATAAATTCGGTGCGCATTATGAAAGTCAAATCAAGCTTCATTTTCATCGTTTTCAATTATGTACAGCGAATAAACATGCATATAAGATGAATGGGAGTTGACAAAACAATTGCACGGAATAAAAAGAAAATAGTAATAACACAAGAGGCGATCTATCAAGCCCGTAATGGCATATATCTCGTTTATTAAGATACAAATAAAAGATAACATTTCGGTAAATGTTAGTACTTGCAGGGAGGAGCCTAAATTTGAAAAGCGTGCGGGGATTAAACGCAAATTTAGCAAGACGGATATTTACCGAGTGGACCGTATTGCTAAACATATA